TACAACCATTTTTTTAAATTGAATTTAACTCAGTAAAGCTGCATGGTACGAAGAAGATCCAGGAATTTGAGTATCTGCCATGGACTCCATGAAAGCCAGGCACACCAGATCTCACACCAGATCTTAGAAAAATTCCTTTGCTTTCAGGTTACAATCTCTTTCACCTACCCAAGCGTTACACATAGCTGATGGTGTCACAAAGCACTTCTCCACTTTCATTTTTCACATACCACATGCTTATCTCTCCTTATCTCCAGCAAGGGCCCACTTATCTCTGCACCTGTGTTGTTGAGAAAAGCATTCTGGAGTTCTGTGCTGCAAACAGTGTTGTGCTAACTGCCAATGTACAAGGAGCAAAAAAGCACTGGGCTTCACAAGGATGACCGTGCTGCTAAGCCTCCTTTCAGGATCTGCATTTCCAATGACAACCACAGCACTGTATATTAATTATATTCACTGTTGAAGGGATTAACTCAAATCAAAATATCTCAATCTCTTCACATAACAGGAATGAATATTGGCATATTCAGTACTCATAGGACTCAAAATTCCACTTTAAGCTTTACGGAGACAGGAAATTGTGATGCAAACCTTAGCAGAATACGGTTTCTCTTGTTGCTGTTTTCTTCCCAACAGAAAAGAAAAAAAAAACCCTTCCTCATTAAAATTAGGTTTAAGGAGATGTAATATCCATACCATTTTCATCAAAACAATAGTTAACTATTCACAAGAAGAGGAAGTTCACTGACATCAGTGTACTTCTCAAGTTATTTTTCTCCCTAACAGTTCCGAGCTTCTGCCTCAAATTCCCAAGCCCCCTCTTGCATGACTTCTTTCTGCAGTTTTGAGGCAACAGGAATACTGCTGAAGGCACACATGCCACAGGGCTTACGCAAAAACCTGCTGCTATGACAACTCTAACAGCACCACTTACCCACATTGCTGCTAGCAGAAATTTTAGCTTGAATTTAAGATAACCTAAAATATTTTTAGCCACTTACTTCTCTCATCCCTATTTAGCTGTAGTATCTAATTTGTTATGACTAACTTTATCTTGTCTCTGGTCTTCGCCAAAACATTCATATATAAGAATGAAGTGCTTTGCAAAGGGATTTGCTTAACTCCATTAGATGTACCTTCAGATGTATTTTATGCCAGCTTTATCTTAAGTCTCGAAAGCAACTTAAAACCTTTACTAATAAATTATTTCATACTTAAAGCAGTGGACTGAGAAAAAGCTTAAAATAAAAATTAACTGTCATCACAGGAGAACTTCCTTGATCCATGTTCTCTGGTTCAAAAATAGTTTATTAAAACCAACTGGCATTATCTGCTGCTGCACAAGGACACTGCATACTGATGCAGACTGTAAGCATGAGGAAAAGATCTGGAGTCTAGTTAGAAAAATGTGGGCTAAAAAAAAAGCATGTGATAACTAGAACATAAGCAGAGCTATTCATTAGCAAAAACTAAGAGCGGCAGCTGACCAAAGTTAGTTAGTGACACCAAGCTGATTAGCATCTCATTTCCACAAACAAAAGTCACAGGAGGATAAATAAGTTCCCTCAGGAAACATGATGTTGTCTCATTTCAGTTAACAGGGTGTACAACCACTGTAAAGCTGAGATTCTTATTACAGCAAAGCTTATTCACTGTGGGTTTTTTTTTCATTTGTTTGTTTTTTATTATTATTTAGATTCCACTTTCCCATTTCTTACCCTGTGTACCCAACCTAACACACTGGCGTTGTTTCAAAGACTGAAGAGATGCCAAATTCACATTTCTCATCCCTGCCGGTCCATGAAGCAAGGCTCACATGTTTGTCATAGGATCACAGCATTAGTCTTTGTGCTTCTTTTTCTAAATGGAAGATGTCAAAATCTATTATGAGCAGCAGGAAGGATCTGCTTATTCACAACCAAACAATGAAGCTGTCTGGGAAGGCTAAATTATTACACACTGACCAATATCTCCTTAGGCAAATTGTTGATGAGAAATTCTGGTGCAGAATGGCTTCACTTCTGTGTTGCTGAGATGACATCACATCACTTGACATTCTAAGTGAAGTTGAATTTAAAAAAAAAAAAAAGAAAGAAAAAAATAACAAGGCTATGATGAATAAAGGTTTGAGTAAGAAGGTTAGGGGGAAATGACCTCAGAATCATAAGCTCCAGAGATGGTGCAAGGAGTGTCTGACCAGCTGACCAAATCTGCTACTTCACATGCAGAACTGAGTAACAATGCTCAATCCTAAGCTTGAAGGGCCATATCATCACTCAGTCACTTTAACCCATCTCCAATCAAACTGAGCAGCCCGAAGAAGTCTTTAAAAGTCTTTGAATAAGGTTTCTGACTAGCAAGCTGCTTTAACACTTGCCTGGAAAATATTCAGTAATTCTCTTATACTGACTTTGGTGGCAGTACTTGACTGAACAGGAAGATTGGACAAATGGCATTGTTTGGGCAGCTATGTGTGCATTCACAGCACCAGCATGAATCATGTGCACTTGGATCGGGCCACAATCAAAAACTATGAATTTGTGCATTTAAGTTAAAGTTTACCTTATCTGGAACCACAGGTGTCACCAACACCAATCAGTCAATTCCTCCAGAGCCCCATAATCAGCTGCCACAGAAAGCTCTGGAAGGCTGCTCTCCTCAATGTTGCAGGCTCTGGCAAGCATTAAGCAGCTGTAAGGTACTTGGGCTTCAACGGCAGGAACCCAGCTCTACCATGCTGTTTTTTCAGCTCTTCCCTAGGTAGCAGAGGCTTCTTTGCTCTGCACAATATATAAAAGGAAGCAGCAAGAACCAGAGGAGTAATTTGAGTGAGATTTTAAATTCCCCTCTACTGAACCATAACCCAGGAAACCTCGGAGAAGACAGAAGAGGCCAGTGGGGAAGAACACACTTGTCACTACAGGTAAGGAAGAGAATGTATCTGTATACACATAGCCTGAGGATATGAAACAACTTAATTACTGTGAAAGTAAATTAAAAAATAGAAGACAGTTACAGTTCAAACAGAAACAGAACTCAACTACCATACGTTAATGGAGATTTTCCAGATGTTTAGCAAAATAAAGACTAAGCTGACTTCCAGCAGCATGGTTCTGCATGCAGCACAGACCACAACTTGCCAGCTACTGACAGACTTAGAGCATGCTGCTCGCACACATCCTACAGGCACTGCTACCCAAACGACAGACAACTTGAACTGACTGACCTTCCCTTTTGCACCACAGCACTTGTTTCCACAAGTCCCAACCAACCCGTGGGGACAGCTAACAAGGGAAGAAAGTACCCCACAAAAGACATCTATTGCTGCCTTACATGTTAATGATATAATAAGTAACATGAGCTTAACACAAATCTGTTCATAAAATGAAGTCAAGGCCATACACAGCCTTAAGGTTAGCGCCTCAAATTGTCTGTAATAGCATACAAATTGGGAAGAAAATTTATCTTTCATCGCTCCTAAGTGCCCAGGTTAGGAAGAACTAACGTAATAGGCATGAGACCTACACGAAATCTAAAATTCTTTTGAAAACTATGCAAAAGAAAAGAAATTGTATGTCAGAAATTGAAACACTGAAGTACAAATTCAAAGAGAGCCAAACAGGGTGCTAAGCTGGGAACCTGGCGTTCATCTCATGACAGCTGAGTATCATCCAACGAAATAAACCTTTCCCATTCCTTGCGCAGAGTTCTGAGCAGCATAGGCTCCCTTCAGCAATTACATTGTGCACCCCATAACACCTGCATTCCGAAAAGTCTGACAGCACAGACAAGGGAGAACAGGTCAGGTGTTTACTGATTTTTCTTTTGTTGCCTAGAATCACAAGTGATTCACAGAGGGCAAGTCAGATTCACACACTGAGTACAGGCGAACCTCTTCCCAAAGGTTACCAGGCTAGACATAACCAGTGCAAAAAAACACAAGAGATACTGCAAAGAGCTGAAACAGCTTTTTACCAGAACTATTCCGCTCTCTGAATCTGAGCGTTCTTCCTTTTCTCACAGGAAACAACCATCCTATTTACGCTGACTTACTGAGTTACAGAAAAACACCAAGACAGGCTGAGCGCTGACACCGCTTACTTAATGAAGCCGTACAGCCTCCTCACCGCCCAAAATCCCGTCCCGTTTACAGGAACCTCTTCTGTAATCGGAATTCATTAGCGGCTAACAACAAAAAGCGGAGCTGCCCAAGAGGAGCAGCCGGGAAATCCTCCCGCACACAATGCACTTGCTGTAGCACCCAGGGCCCGGCTAAGGTCTCGCCAGGCAGAAAGGTTTTGTAACAACAGCAGCAGGAACAGCAAGCGATCACCCGAGATCCGACCGAAGAGAGTGCTCTACCGCCCGTTTCTCCAAGGCGGAGAGCCCAAAATATCTGAGCGTACCTCCACGCACCCCCATCGGCTCCGAAGCCGCGGCTTGCGGGAGGCCCGATAACGGCGGCGCGCCGGGCTACCGGCCAGCGGGGGAGGCCCCGGGGCGGCTCCTCCGCGCGGCCGGGCACACCCCGACCCCGCAACCCCGGGGAACCTCCCGCCCGGGAGCCGTCGCCGGCTGACAGCGCTGCGCGCGGCGCCCCGGCGCCGCTGACGGCGGAGCCGCCGCCCCCGAGAGCCGCCTTTGTCTGAGCGGGGATCCGACCACGCTCGCTCCGGGAGCGGCACCGGCGCCCCCCGCCCGGCCGTGCCCGCTCACCGTCGGAGCTGACGGTGTCGTAGGAGTCGCCGGCGGCGGGCGCGGCGGCCGGCTCCCGGTAGTCCACCCAGCTCAGCCCTTCCACGCTGTCATACTCGGCGCGGTGCTTGTCCTCCACCGGCACCACGGTGAAGTGCGGCATGGCTGGCGGGGCGGAGAGAGCTCCCCGCGGCACCGCGGCGAGGCAGGCGGGATGCGGCGCAGAGCCGGCGGCGCATTCCTGCCCCGTGCGGTCACTTCCTCTCAGGAAACCGCGCTCCTCAACTCCACCCATTCCCCTCCGAACGCCGGGGCGGTGAGGCGGAGCGGCGGCCGCCGCCCCCGGGGCCGCGGGCGGGAAACGGGGCGCGCGGAGGGGGTCGCGCCGCCGGGCGTGGGCGTGGAGGAGGGGCCGGAGGCGGCGCGGACAACGGGCGCCTTCCTCCTCCCGCAGCCGCCGCGGCGACACCGGGCCCGAGGGCGGTGGGAGTCGGGGCGGGGCGGGCCTCCCTCCGCTCCGCGCCCTCGGGGGACGCTTCCCTCCCCCGCCGCCATTTGCTGGGCCTCGGCAGGGCGGGAGCCGGCGGCCCCAGGGATCGCGAACCCCGGGAGACCGTGCCGCGATGGCAAATACAGCGGGATGCCGCGGTAGCAGAGCACGCCAGTTAGAAACGCTCGCGAATACCCACTGAACTTTAAGTCCCGGGCCTCGGTTGTTCGGCAACGGCTTAATTAAAGACACGCTGTCATCCCGAGAGCCGGTTTGTCTTTATCGTTCCAGATAACGATATCGTTCCAGCTCCAGATGCGGCAGCTGCCCCCCGTTTCCCGTGTTTGTGCAGGCGGCGGGTGGCTGATCTGTGCTGCACCAAAGCCTCAGCAACAGCATGGCGAACAGCAAGCCCGATGGAGGCAGGGAGAAAAACGTGACTGCACAAAGAGGCTGGGGGAGCGCGGAGTAAAATCCCTCTCTCGGGAAATGTGAATGCTAGCTAGAGCCGCGACGTTCCTAGCCCTATGCAGAGCAGACAGTTGCTAAGGCAGCAGACTGCCAGGACAGATCAACTTGGCCCCTCTGCTTAGGAGGGAATGCGAGCCGGAGCCGCACCGTTATTAATGGCAGCCCGCCGGTCCATAGGGCCGGGCACCGCTATGTCTCAGCCTCGTCACCGAGGCAACAAAATTCTATTCTGCCTGCACGTGAGAAAAAAAAAACTGGCAGGCACCTCGGCCTGTTTCATAGTTGTAATCCTCATATGGGCTTTAAAGATCAATTAATAGTTGCTAAAGCTATTAATTGTCTGCTTTAGGAAGTTACTCTTGAAAGCAAAATGATCCCTATTTAATATATTATGCACTCATCAGAGCAGAAAGCTTTACAGAACTGCTTGTGCATTTTGCTACATGTGTTTTACTACAGAGTATCAACTCAAACTAGTTTTGTAGATTTTTGATTGAAAATACATCTTAATAAATCAGCAACAAGTCAATCCTGAACTATTCTGTTTTGTTTTGTGCAGGAGTCTGTGGGAGGATGGAAGCCCTAGGACAGAGACTGAGGGAAGACTTTCAACACTCCTTGTACTGAGAAAAACCTTATCTCTAACATTAAGAATTTGTCCTGCCTTTTTGACCAGGCAACCCTTAGGTCACTTAGAGAAAGAAAACCTGTAATGAGCAGAGGAGAGACAAGCAAGAGGGAAAATGCTTTGTTCACAGGTAATGTCTACTCTTAATTAGGTGGGTTTTGAAATAAACGGTCAGAATCCATGCTGTGGAGTGGCTGCAGCCAAGGGGTTACAGGTCTCTCAGTTCACTTCACACAAACTTGTCGATAGACCACCTCTGGGGAAAGCCAGAACAATTACTCCTCCTAGCACTGATCCGACAAGCGGAAAGACTTCTAAGACTGCTGTATTTTCATATACACTACCTTCTACTTGTGTCATTTTGCTCAGTTAAGGAAGACAACAGTGTATCTTCATGTGACCATATGTATCTCAGTAACAACTTCTGTGGGTGGGTAATTTAGAAAGCATTTCTTTTGATTTTAGAAATGTTAGTACAGACAGACAGGAAGCATGCTGGTGTGCTACTCCTTCCACTGACTTATCTCCAGCAATGTATTTTCTCCCAGAGGAATGCATAAAAATTGACCGAAAGGTAGCATTTTCTGCTTAACCTCTTAAGGTTGAATTCCATTTCATTACTGCTCACAAGTATGAGAGTCTAGAGTCCACCAAGAAAACAGGAAAATTAATGATTAATTGACAGGGAACAAAGAATTTTACATAGAAAGACAAGATGAGAACTTACCATTAAGTAACTTAGTTTGTGCTTAGTCCCGTGTCTTCATTTCTGTTTTTGACTTTATAGAACTCTGGTCTAAGTAAGCAGTCCTAGAGGGAAAAAAGGAAAAGATGGAGATTATAAGAATTTTAAAGGGTTAATATTTTTGCAGTCACTCTTGTTCAGGAAGAAGAATGGTATGGCAAGGAGCTGTCTTGGTTTAGGTACCAAAAATGTATCAAGGCCACTACAGAATGATTTAAGTGCCATTAAACTGGTGGCACTTAAATTGTATGCCATTAGGGAAAAGAAAAAAAGTCAAGCTTATCAACATAGACAGACAACTCCCCTCTCTGGAATGGAAACTGTATCCAAATGTTTTAGGAGAGAATTTGGCCAAGGAAATACTCAAGTGTATTGAAACAAAAAAATATTTCTTTTGCCTGAAGAGGATGACTTTTTACTGATTTGTAGACCACCAATATTTATAGATAGGAAGCTGTCTGCCTATATCAACTTTTTTAGCATATGGGTTGTAACAGAACTGAAACTTCAACCTAAGTGACTGGGGTTTTTTGGTGTTGTTTTGTTTGTTTGTTTTAAATATGAATACTGACTTTGACTTCTAAAAAGCCACCACAAGCCTTACAAGTTTCTAGTATCAGTGCAAAACTAAAGAAAAAAAAAAAACCAAGCTGGTGTAGAATACTATAGCATTTGTACAAAATAATGATACCTCTAATTAAATAATTTAACTCAAAGAAGAAGGTTGTATGAGAAACTGAATCTTCTGGAAGGATGGTTCACTAAGCTGCTGAAGATCCTGATACAAGTCATCCGGGCAAGCAAGCAAGGTCAAGTTTGCCTTGAACACTTCATATTACAGGTGACACCACTTAAGTATTTAAAAAATAATCGTAATTTTGAAAGCTTGGCTTTTACATTCCAGCATGAGATAGCAGCTGCATACAGTGTTTGTTAGTTGTTGACTTACAAGTGCAAGGTGTTCTTTCACATCCCCAACAGATGACGATATACAGCTTCTGGCACGATTTGCCTATGCTCATCCTAGGAGAAAGCAAATGCAGAATTACTATTGGTAAAGTTACCACAGCTTGACTCAGCCTTCACCAGGTGAGGTAGTACATCAAATGCCTTTTTGTATGAGCCCCAGAGTACTGTTAGCTTGCAGACTTGCAGTGTGCAACGTTAACAAGAAACAAACAACAAAACATAACAGTATTTCAACTCCTTCACAGTGGAAATGAGTTGCTATTTAAAGATAAGACAACCCAGCATCAGAAACTGTGTTTGGAAATGGCTTTTACGTTTCCTACTTCCTGGAAGGAACAAATACTTGCAAGTTTTAAAGCTAACACATAAATACAGATATTTAAATACCACAACTTCAGCTGTACTACAGGCTGCAAGTATTCTATTTGGACTACGATGGTTTGCTCTAAGGAATTTAAAGGGTTATTGCAAGGGATCCAGATGCCCCATCATGTTGTGCTGGTATACGTACCGCAACGAGTCTGTAATTTATTTGTTTTAAGGGACTTTTTCCCCCACTCAAATTAATTGGGTGACAAGCAGCCTTGTGCTGACCATCAGAAAAGCTGTCATAACAAAACATGCCACAGCCAAGGTACAGCTCCACTGAACACAAGGCTTGGCAAAAATCCTGCAAATTCACTGCTAGGATTTGATCACAGTGAGCTTCCTTTTTCAGCACATTCCTGCTTCTCCACATCCGAGGATCAATCCAGCTTTATGAACAAAGCAGGCCAGAAACTGGTAACCTGGTAGAAATATTTCTCACTGCCAAATGTTGGCTTCTATTTAATGATAAGCAGTCAGTGAAAGAGGTCTGCTGGAGAGGACAACGTGTGCATCTATGCATTAAGAACTGAGCAGAGAGTAATGAGATTTTATGGGAGATACAAAGTACAGTTCTCCATAAGACATTTCAGGGGAAAAGTAAGGCAAAGAAAGGTCAAGCTGTATTTGTACAAGGGCTGGTATGTTACCTGAAATGGAACATTTTTGCTGTTTCTCTCCTAGAAAATATGCCATGGCTTACGTATTTAAAGACCACAAGAGGACACTATGGTGCCACTTATCATCAAAATTTGTTTACTTCAAGGAACTTCCTCCTTCCCCACTTTCAAAGTTACTCATAACTGCATTTGGTGCATGAAATAGACATTTTCTACAAATGCGTATTAAACTCCTCTTTAGACTGAAAAATTACTAAGTCTAAATATTTTTATTTCTCCCTTCAAACTCAGTTTTAGTACTTTAAAATAAGACAAACTAGACCAAAGTTTTCTCCACTAAAATTGTTAAATATTGCAGTAATTTTCAGTGGAGGATTAAGATGCTGAAAAAACACTCCGTGGTTTGTTGTGCTTCCTTTTATCCTTCCAGTTTTCTTTTTTTTTTTTAAACATAAAATTTTTCAGTTCAGGTGGATTTTCAGCACTTACATTTGCTGTGATCTATTTATTTTTTAATGAATGACTCAGAGAAGAAACTTCCATTTTATTTGTCTGAGAGAACTCATAGTAGCTTCAGTTCTAGTATTAGCTGTTTTAAAATCGATTTTGTTTCTCAGCAAAACTCATAGAGAAACCTGAATTCTTGCTTGCCAGGTATCGTGCCTTTCTTTCATTGTAAAACTGCTGACTTCATAAGTGAAAGAAATGTTTTATGAAAATACTGAGAGGAGATTACAGAGAAAGAACTTCAGAGAAAAATACCCACCCATAAGGGAGAGAATCATCCTAGCAAAGTTTACAAATCAACAGAAACAGAGCAAAATGAAGCGATCTCTCACTTGAGAGGAGTAGAAGCAGCAGTGTTTCTGTGAGGTAGGTTAAATGCTGAACATTCATTACACTGTTTTTTTATAGTTTTTTGGCTCTCATGACAGATTTTTTCATGACAGAAGCAGTTGAACCAGGTCTAATATCTCCTCTGAGATCACAGGAATATGATGCACAGAAGAAAGGTTGCTTGCTGCTTTTACTCTGAATGAAAAAAATCATGAATTGCAACAGCTTCTCAGACAGCATACAGACGAGGTTGTCACCTCTGCAATTTGAGGAACTCACTGTGTGAACAGCTCATCTGATAATACTAGACAACAGGTAACCAAGGTTTTATCTTAGTCACCAGAGATCTTGACGTTTATGAAAAACAGAACTGGGATGAAAATACTTTCCTCCTATGGAATTTTGTTTTTCTCTGACAAAAATTACATAATCATCTTATAAATAAATGTGAAGGTTAATAAAAGATTTTAGGTTCAATTATTTTTTTTTTCCCCATCATAGGAGGACCAAACACCCAACAACCATCATAAGGTGTTTTCTTTGTAGATGTCAGGCTTCTAAGTTGTCAAGATAATTACCTGAAAGGAGGTCGTAACAAGGTGGAGGTCAGCCTCTTTTTCCAGGTAACAGAAATAGGATGAGAAGTAACAGCCTTTAAAGTTGCACAAGGAGAGGGTGAGGTTAGATATTTGGAAAAATTTATTCTTTGAAAGAGTGGTGAGTTATTGGAACAGGCTGTCCAGGGAGGCAGTGAAGTCACTGTCCCTGGAGGTTTCAAGAAAATAGTAGGCGTTGCACTGAAGAACATGATTTATTGGGCATGGTGAGGTTGGGTTGACAATTGGACTAGATGATTTTAGTGGTCTTCCCAACCCTAATGATTTATGATTCTATGATAAAAATCAATATCAGATGAAAAATATGTTTAATAGAACACTGACTTAAATGCTCCAAAGTGGCCCAGGATAGTCCAGCATCAGCCTGCTCTGAAAACAGTTCAGCTAATCTACAGGCTGCTCTGGGTCTATGAATCAAATCTAATCTAATCAAATTGTAAGCACAAATGCAAATGTTTGTTTTTCTTTTTTCAAGAGAATGGAGGAGGAAAGGAGTTGTAGACTAACTACTTTGCATTTTCAGAATTTGAAGTAAGTTAATCTATTCCACATGCGTTAGTTCAGGGAAGGGTGAACAAATGAGCAACTTATCAGTAACGTAACAGGGTAGAAAATGCAACGACAGCAGAGCAGCAAGATCCCATGCTGCAGCTAGTGAGAATTTGCTGAAACGTAACATAAGGGAAAGAAGCTGTTTACATTCGGAAGGCCTCAGGTACGCAGGGATCTCCAACAGTATACATTTGCCTCCACTGCCAACCCTTAAATGAGGGCTGAGAAGGGGTGGATCCAGCTCCCCTGGGCTGGCCCTCCCTTCCTACCAGGTGCTTAATCACTACTTCAGGCCATGACTTAGCATTTCTGTTACAAATAGCAGAGTAAATCCAAGCTTCAGTTGCTGCAGTCTTGCTCTGCTTTTCTGCTTCTCCTCTAATTGTGAGCACTTGACTTTGTCAGAGATGATCAGTAAAAAACCCATCATTGGAGAGAGGAAAAGAGTAATTCCAGATAGATCAGCCTCCTAAACTAGTTTACCATGTATTTAAACAATCAGTAATGCTGTCACAAGCGTAACAATGTGCAGCCAAGATTCAGGGTAGCACTGAAACAGTCAAAGTTGACAGCTGTACTTCACTTCAGAAGATGATGGAGATGTGATGATATTTGTCCTTTCAAAGTTGATTCTGTGGTGCAGATACCTACTGAACTTTATGTTTAAGTTCTCAGCATCCAATGTAAAATGTGTAAAAATCCTTTTGTGGCCTAAAAAAGTCGCTCACTGGGTCAGTCTCATGCAAGCAATTTATTTGAAGTTTTCTCAGATAACTTTGTAAGGAGCAATGGAAAGCGGGACTTCTGTGTCACTGCACATCTGTGCAAAACGTTGTAAAGTAGAGGTTATCTTACCTTGATGCAGTCTGTCTAGTTCCACATAGCTTGATCAAGTGAGCTGCTGCCAGAACACCGTCATCAAGGACTTGCTGCAATGACACTGTGTCACCCACATTTCCCTTTCAGAAGTACCTGCTAAAACTTCTCTCCAGGTTAGGCTGCATTTGAATGAAGATGAAGCTAACTACCCACCTCCAGGAGCCTTAAAGCCCATAGGCTTAAATCTATCTGACTTTCTTCTGTCTACCGTGGCGGAACTAGCTTCCAATGCAGAGAGGCTCAGTAGCCTCACAATACCATGACCTTCCTTCTGCAGCAAAGTTGCACAGGGTTTATTTCAGGGCTTCATATGGTTTTGAACTTTACACTGTTTTGTGAGATTGCAACAGCATCTAGAAAATTTTAAACAATATTTTATTTAATTTCATAGTTTTCCATGGGATTACAAATAAAATGTTACACAAAAGTCAGAAAATAAGCACAGATACACTACACATAAAACAAGGAAGTAAACCACAGTTACCTATACTATCATGAAATCAGAACGATACAAAGGTATTATCCACACCTTCAAGGAGACAAATGTATTTTGAATCCATGCTTCAGTAATAGGAAAAAGGAGGAGAAATTAGGCAGGAAATTGACAACACAGAAATAAAAAGGCATCTTACATTTCAAATATGCAATTGACTTACTATCACAGTACTATTTTTGTGAACAGAGACCATGGGTGGCAGTTTTCCAGCAGCTTTTGAAACTATTAGCAGAAGTAAGAATGCAAAGTAAATATCTACATTATTGCATTTATCATTTGACTAGCATCACGTGCTTTAAAAACAATTTGTGATACCAGTTAAGCAGTATTGAGAAGACAGAACTTGTGCTGAAATTCTCCACTGTATATCCATAAATAGTCTCAGTATTTGTTGAGAAACTATTCTTAAAAACTTGGTTTGTTTGCACTAAAATATTCAACACAGCTTGCAAATAATTCCTCAAGTGCCTCTAACATATTCAGAATATACTTATCAATGAGACCAGCCTATTCAGACGAGCTAATTAAGCTTCATTTTGAAGCAACAGCAGGAACTGTCTTCCTCCAGAAACACTACTGGCACACGTACGCAGGAATGGATGGCAGGAGCAGCCTCAAGTTATTCTAGAGAAAAACTGACTTGCTGTTTCAATTCTGTTCCTGCTTGACATTATCCTCAAATTAAACAAGAGTACCTACAACACTACCTGAACATCTGCTCCTTTATTCTGCTAACATCCGAATATGAGCCACCTACCTTTTCCCTTCAGTAATTCTCCAGCTTCCCATTGTCCTGGTCAGGGTTCAAAAATGAGTTTAGTACTACAGAATAGCTCTCTAAAGCTAAATGTAGGTATGAAAACTGAATTCAAGTATCCACATTATCCAGTTTGTTGTCTAAACTAAAAACAAAAACCAAAAAACACACACAAGCACTCTTCTACACCTACTAGGGTGGGAGCGTCTTCTTCTTCTAACCAGTGGTGACTCCTGTACCATGTAAAAAGAAGTTATGTTTGACAAAATCCTGGTACAGCTGTCTCAATATCATAATCGTGCCCACTAAAGCCTGTGTGGTACTGCTGATTCTAGACCCTGGTATTAACATCAAATGCCACAACATGTGTACCAAAATCATGTGTCATGTATTAGAGGATTTGTTTATTAAGCACAACTATTTTCTATTTACAAAGTTGCTCCTGGTTTGATCAGGGTGATAGAATTTCTCACTTCTAATTCTAAATGCTTTTGCCACAACATTTAAAATCTATGCTAACTTTCAAGTGTGCAGGTGAAAGTATGGAAACAGTATTAAATATTCTAGCCTAGGTCTACATTAACAGCTCGTCCCTCAGAAGGTAACTAGTGGCATAAATTTTCTTCATTCTCTCCAGAATCCACGATACTATAAATAATAATATAGTATTAAATATGGTACAAATACAAGTGATAGACTAAATGACTGTGCCATAGAAGGAAATCCAAAAGACCTGTCAGGTTGAATCTGAATATTATGTAGGTCTAGGCGACAGGAATTTTGTACTTCTTCATGAGGAATTTCACTCTCACCCACATCCATCCATTCTCCATTATTGTTCCGCACCTAGAAAAATTCAAAAGATTGCTACGATGGCAAAAATCTTAATGTAGCTGGCAAATTCAATGCTATTTCAAGTGAAGCAACTCAAACTGCATTGCAAAAGCATATTTGAACTCGAGTAAAACAACATCATTATCCTCATATTTGCATTCCAATGAAATATTTCACAGTAATAGTTGCAAATGAATTACAGCAATAGTCACAGTACTGGCTTTTCTTTGCCTCAGCTTCCACTGCATGCAAATGCATTAATTGAAAGGCCGTAAGTAAACAAACTCATAAGCATTCTTCCATAAGTCAGCTCATATCCACAGGACAGAATTTCCAAGATGTCTAATTCAGAAGGAAGAAGATCAGAAAAAAATCGCATAGGCTGATAAAGTATGATGAATGTCTGCCTTTTCACATCAGGTTGCCACACATACAACTCAGCAACAGGCAGATATTCTGGCAGAGTAGTTGGAATAGTACAAAACTCCTTAATTTCTTTACACATAACATACCTCAAAAAGGTAAATGGGAAAAAAAATACATTGTCTATAAGGTCTTGTGTATAATACCTACTTATTAAATTCTGTAAAGAAAAACAAGAATAGGCAGGCAGCTTGCAATTTGCAACCTAGGCCTTTTCAAAAGTTATCACTTAGGGTATTCTTACTTTTTTCATACTATCTCTTTTCTTGCCACTTCTCCCTCATTCTTCTTGATTCCTTTCTGACATTTGTACTTCAAGTTTGCTGTGATCTAGTTGTTACACTTACTGTCTGTTAGCGACCTAGTCATGACAAGAGCCATTTGGAAAGGAGACTGATCCTAGGACAAGAACTTAATTGATTTTCAGGAGTCAGCATTCCTTACTGCATCAACAAACACAATTAAGAAAAAGGTTTATGTGGTAGGAAAATCATCAGCTTCTCCAAAGCGTGCAGTGACTGTGTTTAGAGGTCAGTTATGTTTACTTGTCTACACTACCCCAGAGAGAAAAGGCCCCACAGAGTTCCATCCACTCTCTCTCTCACTTCCCTTTATTCTGCTAATATTCTCTTACATCTCAGTTTCTTTCCTGGCGTTTGGAATTACTACTGTAAGTACTTACTTTCCCTCATGACTCTCTCATTGTATATATAAAAAAACCAATACATCAGCAGTATCTCTCTTCCCCTTAGTAAGAATCAGTATTCGGTTTAGTTTTTAGTCTTACGTTTTCCACTTCCCTGAAGACACGGAGGAAGTTTTCCTTTAAGACCCCTTTTAGTTCAGTTTCATTCCACCCTCTTCTAAGAAGTTCCTCAATCAAAGAAGGGTATTTTGAAACATCTTCCAGTCCCTCAGGGAAACTGTTGGCAAGAGCCACACAAGAACATTCAGCACAGATCGCTTAAAAATGTACCAAAATATTTAAGTAGTCTTTTGCACATATTCTCTTTTAGAATGAGCATTTTTTATACCCACTTCTTCCTCTGAGATGTCATAAAAATGAAGAATCCAACTGATGTAACACAAAGCAGGACTGAGACAACATTGAAGACTC